TATATATATATATATATATATATATATATATATATATATATATATATATATATATATATATATATATATATATATATATATATATTAGAATTATTATAATTATTATTATTATTATAATTATTATTATTATATAGATTATATGTTACATGAAGTATTTACATTAAAGGCTTCTTGAAAATACTAAAGTTATGCAGATTTCTTATATACATAGGTAATTCATTCCAGATTTTTGGAGTGGAGGTTACGAATGCTCTGTCGCCGAGTGTTTTCTTTATTTTTGTACTATAGTCTTCAAGCAATGTGCTTTTGTTAGATCTTAGACTATAGCATGATGTATGTCTTACTTTTAAAAGATTGACAAGATGGAGAGGTGCATACTGAGTGATGGATACATTTAAAAGCAAGCATGGCAATTTTGAACTTGATCCTTAATCGAACAGGAAGCCAGTGTAATTTGATGAGAGTCGGAGTGATGTGATCATGTTTAGGGATAGAACAGATAAGAAGTGCTGCTGTATTTTGTAGCTGTTGTAGTTTAGACAGATGTACATCTGTGACACCAATGAACAATTGAAATATATATTTCATCACTTGTTATATAATAGCAAATTAGATATTAAGATCAAGCATAATACACATCTACCAGGGCTGTAAACAGGGGAAAGAGAATTTAAAATACTAATTTTACAATGTCATTATGATCATAACGAATAATTATGGTTGTCTGGAAAACGCGTGCACGTACACGTACACGCGTGCACGTACACGCGTACATGGAAAACGCGTACATGGAAAACGCGTACATGGAAAACGCGTACATGGAAAACGCGTACATGGAAAACGCGTACATGGAAAACGCGTACATGGAAAACAATGTTCATTTGTAACGTTAATTAAAACTTGGTGGTTTTATTGGAAGTCCTCCTGCAGACCTAGTGATTGTGTCAATGATGGTCAGATCATGGCCTCCGTGAAGGACAACTTCACAGTGGACTACGTAATGTTTAGTACTTTCATTGTTTTCCAACATGCGTCCAGAAAAAGCAGCCGTATTTCCAACCACCTCACGCTATTGGCCCATGCACGTGAGATAATGCCACTAGTCTCCGCGATGAACATTGGAGATATATTAATCACACATTCGGAAACCTCGCAATCCAATGAAGAAACGTTTAAAACTATATGCACTGACGCTTATAGAAAATTATCTATTATTTTAAAATGTTAAGGTTTTTTTTAGCATATAGTTTATTTATCATTTATAGACCCGAAGCGAGGGGGATTCGGCGGAATATTACCCGAAGTGATGATATTTATGAATATTTGAAATATCATCACTGAGGGTATAATGTTTCGACGAATCCCCCAAGCGGAGGGTCTACAGGGTGTATCAAAATAAACGCAATTCATCTTTTGTGCTTAATAACTTTCGAAATACTATTTCTAGTTAAACGCTTTTAGGCTTACTTCAAAGCCTGTTCTTTTCTCTTTCAAACAAACTATTATCCTTGTTTCCAATGCTAGTAATAATTGCACAGGAAAAGATTTAGTAAAACCTATCATTTTTAGTTGCTGCTTAATTATGCAAGTTTACTATGTTATTGTTTAGTCGGTTTAAATGTTAGAATTTTCTTCTTTAAACTTTAATGTTGTCGTCACTACATCTGGAAAACCACGTAAGAACAAATTAAAAGTATTTTAAAAGAGACCAGGTTGTTTGAAAATCTAAACGAATGCTAAAAATCGTCAAAACATTCTGGTGTCTGAGCCAGAGTGTCATCGAATTGCGATGTAATGTAAACAGAAATTATAGCAAGTTGATGTCAGTCAGTTTAGATGGTCCAAGCCAAAATGATATCGCATTTGAAGTTTCAAACTGAGTTAAAAATAGTGGAAGAAAAGCCGTAATTATACTTATTGTTAAAATCCATTTAATAAAATGCAACATTTTTTTGTTTTAATAAAAAAATCAGTTATTTTCATGAGAACGATTTGTTATTCCATCTCACTTTTTTGTGGCAAGCCCGTTTGCGGGCTAGCCATTATCACATAGTACACAAACGCGATGAGCGATGATGATCATGGTGTCCAGTCCGGATTTTCGTAAAGTATCGGAAGCAATCGGAAGCGCCCGTATTTTTCTGCTGACATTTCACATTTGCATTTCGAGGCAATACTAGTGATGTTGTTACGACGCAGTACTAGTGAGGTTGTTAATAAACCAGAAAATTAAAATAAAGTTTATCTTCATGGCTTCAACCTATGGTGTCGAAACCGATCAGAAATTGCGCGTACTCGCCGTGTAAATATGGGTTTTGATTTGCACTTTTGACTGATTTGCGGGCCATTTGCCATCTTGAATTGTCTTCTTGTTGAGATTTTATATCTCAATTGCATTCGAAATGTTTGGTATTTTAAAGAAGGGGTATTGTGTGGAGGAGGTTTATAATGCAGCGAATAAAACCAGCATTGGATAATTATGGTAAAAGACCAGAAACTGTGCATCGAACTCTTTATTTAAAGGCTTTAAGTATGCCTTTTCTTCAGACATTGCCGGCGTCTCAAATGTCTACATATTTGTAATAAACCTATAAAGGATTATTGCGTCTGTCTGTCTTAGGAGTTATATAGTCGAATAATTCAGCATGATTTGTCTCACGTTCTCTTATAAGTTGACTAATATTGCATAAAAGTGGTAAAAGTTGGTGTGCTAACCAAGATTTCAGTGTATTTGTTTGCTAATATTGCTAGGCCTATATCTCAAACGCTATTTGCCTATTAAAATATCATATGACACGCAATTTTAATTCCACGGCAAAACTGCTGTTGCGCAAATAACAAATGCGAGATTAAATCTATATGGCAGTATTACAATTACAGTTTAGTAATATTGCATTAAAAGTGGTAAAAGTTGGTGTGCTAACCAAGATTTCAGTGTATTTGTTTGCTAATGTTGCTAGGCCTATATCTCAAACGCTATTTGCCTATTAAAATATCATATGACACGCAATTTTAATTCCACGGCAAAACTGCTGTTGCGCAAATAACAAACGCGAGATTAAATATATATGGCAGTATTACAGTTTAGTAATATTGCATTAAAAGTGGTAAAAGTTGGTACAGAAGCCCAGAGGCGACAGCATAAAATTACTTTTGTATTTTGTATTTTTGTGTTTTATATTTTGTATTTTTGTGTTTTATATTTTGTATTTTTGTGTTTTATATTTTGTATTTTATATTTTGTATTTTATATTTTGTATTTTATATTTTTGTGTAATTATAATGTTCTTAAACGTGGGATTATAGGCATTTAGTAATACAAATTGTAGTGATATTAACAACAATACATATGTCAATACATGATTACAAGCTATGGAGACGTTGTATTTTGA